TACAGCATCCACAGTTCTTTCGTGAGAGTAATGGAACTTAATATGTCATGGAGTCACAGAGTAATACAGCTCAGAAACAGATCCTTCAGTCCAATTTGTTTGTGCTGACCTGATATCGTAAACTGATCTAGTTCCATTTGCAGCATTTGGCCCATATCCCTCTAAACCTAAGCAAACACAAAATTTGAACATAGTCAATTAAGGAAATATTAAGGCAGATGAGCAAAGGGTTTGGCTTTAAGTGGTGTCTGAAAACAGGAGAGGTAGACATGCAGTGTAGTTTCAGCAGGGAATTCCAAAGCTTAGAGCCTGAGCAGCTGAAGACACAGAAGCCAATAATACAGAGATACAAAAGCAGGAATTCTCAATGTTTTTCCCTCATTTTGGTCAATCAATACATGCCGCGCTGTTTCGTCTGGTAGCAATGTTCTTCAGGATTCAATCAGCCAGGGTGCTACTGAACCACGTTTAGTATGGTTCAGTACATTCTGTGCCTTGGTTAACTTCAATGTAGTAGCACAAGGATTATACAACTGTTTCATAATCCAGAGAATGATTCCAAAATCCATCATTGCAGTTTGAGATTTAATTGGGTTCTTTTAAAAAAAAAACCTTGCCCTTAAATCTGGTTCAGGTTCCACACCAACATGGTCTTCTCTGAGATGACCAAGCAAGGCACTCAGCTATATCAAAACAAGGTACCAAAGCATGTGCAATAAATTCTAGCCCTTTCTGCGATGCACCGAGCCCAAGGATAAATCTTTTAAAAAGGCTTGCTGCAACTTACATAAATTGTACAAAATAAGTGTGTATGATGCTGCAAAGTTAGTACTATCTACTAGTCAGAATTTATTTTAAAAAAAGTCAAGGTTCTGGGTGTCCACTTAGTCAGCTTGTCTCACAGGGACACTATAGGTTGGTCGTCCATCAGTGTTCCTATTGTGGATAATTGTACAACAATCCTCAATGCAAAATGTCTATGTTTATGATCAGATCCACTTGATTTTCCTGTTTAAATACACTTATATATTCTGGCCATGTAGATGAGAAAGCTTAGAGGTGTCACTCCCCCTAGTAGGTAAATCATAGTTTTAAAACTTATTGCAAAAGGTTCATGAAGCAGTGGATAAAGGTGTCAAAAGAGCCAGGGAGGTGATGAGGAAGTTTGTTTTTTATTTTAAATGCCTCAAATTGTGATGATCTGGAATGCAGTATATGAAAGGTGCTAGAAGCAGCTTCATGAAGGTTGAAAACGTGCTTGGATAAATCCCTGAATAGTAAACTTTGCAGGGCCAAGACAAGGAAGAGTAAAACTAATTGGATAGCTACTTCAAAGAAGAGTTAAGTGACCTCCCTCCTGTGCTGCAAACATCCAAAATACAGTACCAAATTAATTTTCCCGATTTTCCTCACTTCTTTTGTGACACTGGCAATTCAGTGCTTAATCATGTTTTCTCTGCAATCACATCATAAGCTTAATCGAAACATCCCAGATTCATTTCATGGAAGAGCCACAGCCTGAGCAGATAGGGGATATTTGGATCGAGGTTGAAAGGACACTGCGTTGTCTCCATTTCTTCAATTCAACATTAATAATGCCACTCCCTCGTTCTCACCCCACACTCCTACAAATGTTTCTTTATGAAATACACATCCAGTTCCCTTTTGGAAGTCACTACTAAGTCCTTTTCGACCACCCTGTCAGACAGGGTTTTAGACTAGAACCACTCGCTATGAGAAACATTTCTTTGCATATTCCACCTGGCTCTTTTGCCAATGATCCTAAAATTTGTTACTGGCCTTCCTACCTGATACTGTGTACTGATTTGTAAGGCTTTGGAATGTTGTTGGTGGAACAAAAGGGGACACATTTATTCTGCCTCTAATTGTGTAATTTTTTTCTCTGATATATCTGGAAAGAAAGATGTGACAGTATTGTCAAGTGCTGACAATATACTAAAAGTCTTGAATGTTGTGGTATGCTTTCGTGATGCACTAGGCTCCAATGTGCTATGTTGTGGACAAAGCAGAACAAGTGATCTCCCATGTAGCAGTCTGCTCAGCTTATAAAGCACTTTGTGATGATGTCCCTTCTCTATGGAGGGGAAATTGCTTTTATTTGTTCTTGCACAGTAACTAACAGCTGTTTATATGGTAACAATAACAGAGCTTTGGAAGCAAGTTATCTGCTCATTAGATGCAGTATAGAGAAATAAGAAGGCCTTAACAGGTGTTTTACCTCTTGTTTTGTAGTGTGACTATTAAGTGACCTTGCAAAAGAGTGCCTTACAAATAATCTTCCAGTAGATATTTTCCGTATGTGCAATGAATCATAAATATTAAATGACTCATAGTGGTGCAGTTTGCCATTGAGCCATTTATGAACAGTTCTTTCTGAGCTGAATGGTAGGGCCTATACATTGGGACAAGATAATCAAATAAGCCAAAAGATCCCTGTGGATCCCTATTGATATCATTAGTGTAGTGTGTTTTATAGATCAGTTCCAGTTTAGAATATGCATCAAGGCTGTGTTTGTGTCTGCCGCAGAATTAGAGCGACACTTTGTGTCAGAAACAGAGGACTGTCCATTACATTCGAAAGTTTAGGGACCATGGAGATTACCTGAGAGATTTATCTTTGCTCCAGATGAAACTATGCAGAAAAACACCTTGGAGATAGCAGCATAGAGAAAATCTCCTCTGGTTGGCTTCACATTGGAGTTGTGATTCCAAACTGCTTTCAACTTGCGTGCTATTAAAATATAAATCTTGCATTACACAACAATGTCAAGATCTCTTCAGAACATTGCAAAATATGCATCGGATGTCATGATATCAAAATTCTGTCCTAGTACTTCCCAAACCTTTTGCCTTTGTGACCCCATTTTGAGGTTTGAAAATACCATGACCCCACAGTGAGAAATATTCAAGTGGGAAGACCAGTGTTATAATTTGTTCAGAGCTCTCTGACAGGAATTGGCTTACTGCCTACGGCCACAAAATTCAACTTGTGACCCAACTTGGCATCCCAAACCCCTACTTTGGGAAGCCCTGTTCCAGCTTTACTGCTTCACTGGACCTTAATTAAAAAGCTGTTTACTTTTCTCCCATTAATGGTGTGAAGACGTGGTTGCAACTATGTGGATGGACCATGGCAGTTGTTTTTACTGGTGGGGCTGTCCATTTCCTACATTGGGAGGACATATCCTGATGCATCAATTCAAAGCCAGTAAATATCAACCAATTTTTAAGTTGTTGCCTGACTATGGCCACAAGTGGACAATGTGACACATAACAGTAGCAACAGACCATGTTAGCATTTATGAATTGTTTAGTGTTGTGTTAACGTTGAAATGTAACATCATTTGGAGGTCAATGATCAGAATTTTATCTCCCTCATCAGCGATTGACAAGGTATTTTAACAGTACAACTCATGAGCTGAGATTAGTAGTCTTACCATGGAGATTTGCAAATGTATAATATAACTGGATCTCTTTGATATAATTAAACTAAAGCCAACATTCTGGCTGTGATATAGGAATGGGGTGTCTAGGGGAGGGTAGCACAGAGTGTTTCTTGTGATCTTTACACCATGATTTTTGTCCTGTGTTCAACCTGTGTCAAAAATCAAGGCAGGAAAAAAAACCTGCACCCTCCCTTTTTTTGGTGAAACCCTCCAAGATCTCCAGACTGTCCCAGATTTAGCTCTTGAGCAGTCCCCATTATTTTCACCCCATCTTTGCTGGCCACTCCTTTCATTGTCAAGATTCTAAACTTTTGACTTCTCTCCCTGAACCTCTTCCACCCCACACCTGCTCTCCTTTGCGATTTTGTTTAAAGGTATTTGGTCACCTGCCCATATATCATTTTACGTGGGTCAGTGTCAAATTTCTTTGGATGAAGCTCCTGCGCAGCAGGTCAGGATGTTCTAATATGCATAAAGGCCTTGCATAAATACTAGTTGTTGTTAATGATGTTTCTCCCACTATTTACTGGAAATGATACAAGCTCCCTGAAATGAGTTTGCCAAAATTGGGATCTACCCTGTTGTGATTTGCAGTACATATCTTTTGGTGACCCTCAGGTTAAACCACCACCAGTTATGTCTCTCTAATGACCGGGCAGCCCTACGGTCCGGTTAAACTTTGGCGCCTTTACCTTTACAGTTCAGATACTAGTGACCCTATTTACAATTGACCTTAGAACATCGGTGGAGATCGGAGCAGTTAGAACATTGGTACTGACCAATGATGTGCAAGTTAGATGGATTGGCCATGCTAAGAATAATTGCCCATCATGTTCAGGGATGTGAAGGCTGGGTAGATTAGCCGTGATAAATGTGGGGATAAGGTAGAGGGCTGGATCTGAGTAGGATGCGGGGTCAGTGTAGACTCAATGGGCTAAACAGCCTCCTTCTGCACTGTAGAGATTCTATGATTCTTCTATAATAACAGGATTTAACGCACAACCTCACTATTCCGGTTAAATTGGAGGAGAAAAAACAAAACCCTTTTGCAAGTTCCTTGGCACCCTGCACTGGAAGCTCTTTGCTTCACTGATCACTCGCTAAAGACAACTGGACTAGTACTACATCAAAGCATTGCATGTGATCCAATAGATATAGAGGTGTCAAGCATCTTTCATAGTTCCAACAGTGTTCACTGTGAAAAGGTAACACTGCCCAAATGCTGATCTTCAAGTAGTGACTGCAAATTATTCAGTACTTTAATATTTCTAAATTTGACCTAAATGGAATTCTGCAGTTCAATTATGAGAAATATTGCTACTTATTCGTGAAGACAATCTACTATGTTAGACATGCATAATAAATCAATATTACATTGATACGTGTTGTGTTCAAGAGGGTATGATGTATTCTGCTACTCAGGGACCGCTTTGTCTAACTTGTAAGCCCCAGGAAGGTCACAAAAAATTCTTCAGGCCAGTTGCCAGAGAGCAATTGCTTTTGGTGTAAATTAGAGGTTAGGGGAAAAAATTGTGGATAAAAAAATCTTAGTATCACAACTATCAGTGTGAAACTTTGATAGGATTTTGCCTCCCATTCGAAAATAAAAGTGTTTATATTTGTCAGCATGAGGGGAATGTGGAATTTGAAACACAAACAAATCACTCAGAAGGAAAGACCAATAAAACTTGTGAATGACACATCCTGGTCTGACTTGCTTTTGTATACTTCAGAATAGAGCTCCAGTATTTCCAGTGTTAATTTCCAAGTATTACTTTATTTCCCGCTGAGCAACCATGGGCTTATTGAATGACGGAGCAAGTTTGAAGGACTGAATGACCTACTTCCTCACATAATTCGTATGTTCGTACGTTTCAGCTTTCTGTCAACTGATTGCATCATCTCTTGGCTTAATGTAATTCAATGTAAATGAACCAAAACTGCACAGCTGTAGTGGTCTTAAAAAAAGGTCTTATTTAATATACATGTATGGTTTACCTGCTGTGGTACATATCAACTATCAGGTTTTTATTGAAGGATTTCTTTTGAAAAGAAAATAATGAGACAATAGTTTGTGTTAGTCATAGTCATATTCTTTTCGGTAGCTTCTAAATTCGTTGCCTAGCAGTCCCCAGACCAATCAAACACATGCAGATGGCAGCGTGTAATACAGCACTGACTTAGCCAGGATTTTATTTGGATTGCATTAATGTATGCAAAACACTGCACAATGCATACTCTTGTCATGTAATTGAATGGGAATAAAGGGAATGGCAATGAATTAGAAATAGAGCCCTCTCACGTTTCAGTAAATTGCTGCTTGTGGTACTGGTATGTAAGCCCTGCTCTGTGAGTAATCCCAGAATACAATGAAGGATCTGATACCTGTTCATTGAAACATCTTTTCTGATTAATTAAAGGACTTTGTTCCTTCGTTTGCTTTTCGACAGTGCCAGTGCTGAAATGAAGGGTTGAGATTATTCCAATGTTTGATTAATAATTTGTCTGCCTCACAATTAGTTGGGGGAGGTTGACGGTGGAAAGGATCAAAGAATTGATATCCATTTTTACATGACAATTGTGGAAGACAATGGATAGGGTTGAGTTGGTTGGGGCAGTGCTTTAATACATTTTAAAGGCAGATAACATACACACAGCTGAGCAGGCCAGGAGTTCAGTGATAGTCTTTTACACAAATAGGAGTTTTAAACTCCAAGTGCCTAGCCTGATATTCTAGTAGTGATTCCTATGAAACCATACTTGTATCAGGAATTTTAAAGCCTACTTGATAAAACCCAGCCAAATACTCAATGAAGGAACATACAAGTTTTAGAGGAAGGGTCCCTGGACGCAAAACACTAACTCTGATTTCTCTCCACAGATGCTGCCAGACCTGCTGACCTTTTCCAGCTATTTCTGTATTTGATTCTGATTTCCAGCATCCACTGTTTTTCTCATTTTTTTTAACAATTTTTAGATGGCTGCTTCTTTTTAATTATTTCAAGTATGACACAGCTACAGTGCAGGAAAGTAGACCCACGTTAACGTCACACCATATACAGCAAGACATTTTCTCTACTCTTGCAGTCTTACTCGGCTCTATTTTTGGTTCATTACTGTCGTCAGAATTTTGCACCTCCTAAGCTCAAAGTGTGATAAATGTAAGGACAGAAGTGGGGGGGGGATCAATTGCAGTCAAATTTCCAGGAAAAAGATGATGCCCACAAAGCACAAAGTTCCAAATACATGGTATGATCACTGTCGCCTTTCCTATCTAATGGGATATCCAGGACCTCAATGCATCATGCACTCTCAGTCTTCCCTTCCCCTTAGAATTTTCAGACATTTTAGTCTTAAGCACAGCAGCATCCATATGTTGCTCAGTTCTGAGGAAGGGGCACCAGACCCGAAATGTTGACTCTTCTTTTCCTTCACAGATGCTGCCAGACCTGCTGAGCTTTTCCAGCAACTTTGTTTTTGTTCCTGACTTACAGCATACGCAGTTCTTTCAGTTTTAATCTATACGTTGCATCTTGATTTGCCCAGTTGTAACTCCTGCTGTTTCGGTCTGCTGTACTGCACTGAAGATCTTTTGGCATTTTACACAGGACTCCTTGTTTTTAAATGTGCTCCTCTGTGGGGTTATTAATAGAGGTCCTAATGATGTCATACAGTTCTAGCTGCCTTTGAAAGGTGTATTGGAACCACTAAAAATGATCACTAATCAAATCTTTAAGGGTATTCTTAGCCCAAGAACGTAAATCATAGAATCCCTACAGTGTGGAAAGAGACCATCCA